GACAGAGAGACAGAGAGACAGAAAGACAGACAGACAGACAGACAGACAGACAGACAGACAGACAGACAGACAGACAGACAGACAGACAGACAGACAGAGAGACAGAGAGACAGAGAGACAGAGAGAGCGAGAGAGAGAGCTAGAGAGCTAGAGAGATAGAGATGGATGGAGATAGATGGAGATAGAGATAGATAGAGATAGATAGAGATAGATAGAGGTAGATAGAGATAGATAGAGATAGGGATAGATAGAGATAGCTAGAAATGGATAGAGATAGATAGAGATAGATAGAGATAGGTAGAGAGATATATATATATATATAGAGAGAGAGAGATAGATATAGGTAGAGATAGATAGAGATAGATAGAGATAGATAGAGATAGATAGAGATAGATAGAGAGAGCTAGAGATAGAGAGATAGAGAGATAGATCGATATCGATAGGTCGATAGGTAGAGAGAGATAGATAGCTAGCTAGCTAACTAGCTAGCTAGCTAGATAGCTAGATAAATAAATACATCGACCATTGGCAAACGTACCAAGAACAGTGTCGCTTGCATGGAATATCAGAGGGATCTCGCGGGAAATGTGTGCAATGGCTCTTTTCTGTCCATGAAGCCAAGCTTCTGTTCATCTGCACTGCGGGGCTTACCATCAAATACTTTCCCTACTACCTCGACGTTTTGCATTTTCCAGCCCGTCGATCTTTCCTCAGATAGAATCGTCTTCTGCGTGCTCAAGTCTGTTCTGTGTGTCCTTCCTGGATCCCACTCTCAACCAGTAATCAGTAATCGGTACGAAGCGCGTCCCCAAACGGTGGTCCCACATCACAATCTGGGCTTCCTGCTTGTTCTCCTTGGAGGTGAACTGCACCTGAACCTGCAACGTCCGCATTCGCATGCTGAGGCCAAAGGGCACCGACGACGCGACACGGCTTCCCGCTAAACCCCAAACCCTAAGTCCCGAAATTCCCAAATCATCCCAAATCCCCAAACCCTCAACCCCAAAAACCCCAAGCGACCTAAGTGATCTAAGGGAGGCCTAAGGCCGGGCGAAGATCGACTCTGGCGCCTCGCGCCAGATCTTGGTCAGGAGCTTCTGAGAGCCCTGGCTCAGGGGCTGAGCTTCGGCTTTTTTGGGTTTCCGGGTATCGGGTTTAAGGTTTACGGTTTAGGGGTTTAGGGGTTCTGAGTTTAGGGTTTCGGGTTTGGGGTTTAGGATTTAGAGTTTGGGGGTTGAGGTGAAGGAAGCGATCGACATGGAAGGAGCTCAGCACGAAGGGCACACTACAAAGACCCCGAGCTGCCCAAGCCACATTCCCCCTCGGACACTGCAAAGCCTGCTTCAGCCCTTCGCACGCTGCCATGAAGACCCTGGGCCATGTAGCAGATCCCGAAGGCATTTATGCATGTATGTTAGCATGCATGTATGTATGTACGTGTGTACGCATGTACGTATGTACATATGTACGCACGTACGAACTATGTATGTATGTATGTATGTATGTATGTATGTATGTATGTATCTGTATGTAACCAGATGTTCACACAGACAGACGTCTCGCTCATTCGTTCATATATATATATATATATGTATTTATTTATTAACTCATTTATGATTCATTCATTTATGCATACATGCATACATACATACACACACACACATACATACATACATACATACATACATACATACATACATACATACATACATACATACATACATACGTATGTATATGTGTATACATATATACACTCTCTATATCTACACTTAGATATGCAATGATATGCACATACACACACATATATATATATATATATGTATATGTATACATATATCTACAAATACCTATGTATGTATGTATATATATATATATGCACCCACATACATACATACATACATACATACATACATACATACATACATACATACATATATATATATATGTACCATATGCTTAGACTCACCGCAGTACTTCCATAAAGGGAGTAAGCGAAACCCAGGGAGGCTTCTAAGCTGCTGCCACTCGAGCCGTGCTTTCCCAAGGCCGCCACCCAGGAACGGCCCTCTTGGAGGCTGGAGCCTGATTGTTTTCAGGAGGCGAGGGGCAGTACACTCTGACTGCTTCAGAAACGACCTGAAGGATGATGGCATTTCAATATGAATGGAGCAAGAACTTTCGCTGCACCTCCTAAGGCCAGCGAAAGTCTTAGCATGTACGTTGCTCCTCTCCCTCAAGTGCGGCTTTGTAGCAGCAAGGCCCTGGCTCCTTTTCTAGAGACCTGGTTCTCCTGAAGTGTATCACTCTACCACTCTTAGCACTTGAAACTGACAGCGCCTTGGCGGCAGCTGCGGCGAACAAGGCCCGCCAGAGGACACGAGCACCTGAAGCAAACACCGCGGGCCTTTCTTGTGCTTCGCGGGCGGTGCACTGGGCACTGAGGTCCTGCACCCTGCTTCGGGCAAGTGTCTGCGGCTCTACGGTGTCTCCTATCGAGAAGCTGGAAGTGCAGTCCAAATCTGAGACGCCGCGCAAAGAAGGCCGGCTTGCCATTGTGTGGACGGCCTCAGAATCCCATGCGATATCATGGTGACCACGCCTCCTACTCATGAGCTTCCACCAGAATCTCCAAGGTCCAAGTGTGGCCCAGAAAGGTGATGGGGGTAGTGGAGGTGATTTGCACAGAAGCTCTTTAAACCCGTGGACACGGTTGGTAAGTTCTTCGGCTGACCACTGAGACCTTCCTCCAGAAACTTACGTTCTGAACAGGACCTGAAACCGCGGTCTTCAAAACATCTTACGAAACCCGTCGGAAGTCATGCCGTGCATGGTTGCACCGTCTGCACGCCTGCCCGAGGGTGCGCCCCGCAAGGCGGGCTCGTTCGTGACCTCCTGCCGCACCTCTGGGGCTGTCTGAGTCTGAAGAGAGTCGTGCGCTGGAACAGCAACCTCGAAGCAAGAGGAAAAGCAGCTATTGACCGACAGTACCAAGCGATTGCTCCTGCTAACGCTAAAGCTACTTCTGCTGCGTCCGCTGCGCTAAGACGACCGACTGGTGCTAGATGGTGCTGGGTCGCGGCCATCCGGCACGCAGGGAGCTTCAAAGGACCCTAAACCCTATGCTTGTATCGGCTTCCCGAGTTCGAGTTTCGGGCTCCGGGTTTAGGGTTTAGAGTTTTGGGTCTAGGACTTAGGGTTCCGACTTTCGAGGCTTTGGGCTCAGGGTTTCGGTTCTTCGGGAGTTGGGGTGGTGCCTTCATGCAGATCACGTGGCAGGCGTTGGCCAAGTGCTCCTGGAGATCCGGCCTTACTGTTGCAAATGCGGCCATGTGTTTAGGGTTGACCTTTCAGGTCTTCGGATTTGTGTTTCAGGGCTTAGGGTTGAGGTGTTCAGTCATGGGGTTTAGGTTTCAAGGGTTTGGGTTTGGGGCTTGGTGTTTCACAGCTTGTTGCGAACCGGCTACACACTGTTTTGCATGGTGGATATTGCAACAGATCTTGTCATCAGAGTGGCTACTTCGTAGGCGTGTCGATCCGAGAAAGATGCTCGAAATATCCCATCCCGGGAAGATCAAGCCCACGACGTCAGCGCACTGACAGGCATCAGGCGCGCCCTGTTGAACCTGTCTATGCACGGCATCCACCAACGTTTTTGCATGATATTTGCGGAAACCGTTAACTTATATTTGGGGAAACCGTTTGAAGTAACTCAGCTGGATGATGCACGCTGGGAAGGGGTGCCTTAACTAGCTTCCAAGGTCCGAAGCCTGACCCGTGTTCCCTGAAAAGCAAAGCCATAACGTCCGCTTCCTATCCAGAAGAGGGCGAAGACCTTCTAGATTCTAGCTCCCGCACTTCGAAAAAAACCTTTCTGACACATACGACAGACTCCCAGACGGCGACGGGAAGACCAGTTGAGCCGACATCCAGATGGGAAGTACAACTTGCATGCACGATCTCAAACTGCCCACACAGGAAATCTCAACAGTCGACTGCTCTGATCCCCAAGGCGAGTCAGCAGCACCACGCCGGGCCTTAGCTGACTTGCCGCCAGCTTGGTACGACGAACACACAGTACGATGAAGTAAGAATATACATACTTACTCATACATACAAGCATGATGCAAGTAGATACATATACCTTTTGTGTCGAAGACAAAGAAACAAAATGCAACTATGCAGGTGCATCAGCCTATAGACACATGAACATATGTGTAGAGGGTTGAGTATAGATTTACAGCTGGAAGCAAATGGATACAATCATATAGACTTGCGCGTACGTATATCTACATAAAACACGGATATGTAGGGCCTCGGGCGTGGCCGCAGGTGCTCCCGGAATTCTTCTTGAACGTATGTTACACTTTGTTATGTTAGACTACATTCAGTATGAGATACTATTCCTTGCAATACTGCATTATATTGCAGTATAGTAGTATACTATACGACGTAGATGTTCCTGTCCGTCGTTGTAGCAGAAGAAGGCTTCTTGGCAGCCGAGCGCTTGCCATCCTCTCGCGCGAGGAAGCCGGCGACGGCCGCCGTGGACAGGATGTACGTGGTCTTCACCTTGTCATTTCTGCGGAAAGCAATCAAAATCTCCATCAGCACCACCACAACTGCAGCTGATGATAGGAAGAAGCAGAGTCGGCAGTAGAGAAACTGACAAGGGTAATTGAATAACATAAGCAGCAATTAAAAATGCCATGAACACCAGCAATTATCACTGCAAAAACCAGAGCGGGAACGATGGTCTGGGCTTGTTCATGGGCTTGTGGTTGTAAGGGATGGGCAGGGAGTTTAGGTGGTCAAGGTTTGGTGTCCCGAACCTCCGCGTCCGTCTTCCGAAGCAGCGCCCCGAGCCCCGAACCCATGACCCCATGACCCTCAAGCTGAACACGGATCCCTGAAATCCTACCGGCTACCATAAGCGTCTACCGAGGAGAACTAAACCCGAAACCCTCAACTCCATCTGAGCTCCCAAGCATTGACCATCTCATGTGGCCGCTCGAACAGCCGGTGAGACCTTGAAGGCTCTTAAATTCATAGACCTTAGGGTCTCGGTATTGGGGCTACAAGTATCACGATGGCTTTCCTGGTGCTACTAGCATGTTGATCTTGCTGCCAACACGTGAAACAAAGACCGCGATAACGATTGAAAATGTGGTGATGCTGTGATTATAACAGTAACGAAACTCAGCAAGATGATACGCGTACTAGCACTCACGCCCAGAATAGTGGGGTCGTCGCAACAAGCATGGCTCGTGAGCCGTAGTCGCTGCCGTCGCCGCGGTCTAACATCCCGGCTTCGATCCAAAGGCGCGAGGCCCCTCATCGCCCGCTACCACCCTACCCGTAACCCTGACCTTCGATGTCGTAGTAGTAGTCGTCGTCGTCGTAGTAGTAGTAGTGGTAGCAGCAGCAGCAAAATTGGAGTAGGAGTAGTAGTAGTAGTAGTAGTAGTAGTAGTAGTAGTAGTGGCAGCAGCAGCAGCAGCAGCGGCAGCGGTAGTAGTGGGTGCAGGAACAGGAGCAGCGGGAGCTCAGTAGCAGTAGCAGCAGCGGTAATTGGGTAGCTGCAGTGGTAGTGGCACTGGCAGCGGCAGTTCGAGTGGCCCGAGTGTTGTGTCGTCTTGCATGGATCTCCGTTTCCGTGCCAGGGTTTGCAAGCTGAAATTGTAAGGCCCCGGCACTTCCTTGGGCATCCATGGGATAGACATGGTGACCAAAACAATGAAATCTTAATTTCTAGCTGGCTCGTTCCTTGCTTCACCCGGAGGGTCTACCAAAGTGCAGCGGTGGGGCAAAGAGGGGCAAAGAGTTGCCTCCTGTCTCAAGCAAGGGCATAGCTTGGCTTAGCTCCGACGTGTTGACCGTGAGTTGCGAGACCTGCCTACCTGAAACTGTGCATCTCTTCCTGGAGGCCGGCGATGCAATCAACAACTGATCCAGGAGCTGCTTCTTGTATCAAGCATGGTGGTTCCTCTGCTGATTTTGCTCGAGGCTTGGATTTCCAGACAGCATGGTACAAGCATCGGCTGTACCTGCTACAGCTCTGCAAGCCCAGCATTTTTTGCCCAAGCCCGTTGCTCAGCGAGGGACTCTCACCTTGCCCCAGCTTCAGAACAGGAGCGCCTGAACGATTTCAGGAGAATCTGGAAGGTTGTCTTGTGTCTCTCGTTGCAGGCTGAGTTCTGGACTTCTACAGCGGAGGATGAGGGAATAGCTGTAAATTCAGTACTGATAGCGGGAGTACGAATGCTGCTAGTCGTGGTAGTTGTGGTAGTAGTAGTAGTAGTAGTAGTAGTAGTAGCAGCAGTAGCAGTAGTAGCAGCAGTAGCAGTAGTAGCAGCAGCAGTGGTAGTAGTGACAAAATGCAGCAATAGCAGTAATAGCTAGTCGTAGTACTAGCAGTCGTCGTCGTCGTAGTAGTAGTGTAGTAGTAGTAGTAG